GACATAGAAATGTTATGCAAAGTTCTCTTAGAAGATCATATTCTTCCCTTATATGATCCTTATAGCTCATCAGCATGCTTTCAAGTATTTATTATTGAAATCCAAATGAGATCCTTTCCACACCGAGACACACGAGGGTGTTCTTCAGCAGCTGCTGCAGATTTTGTCTCTAAGTCAGACTTAGAGCTGACTCTTGGCAGCTCATTGTAAGAACATGGACACGTTGACTAATTCCAACTTTTTTTTTTTTTTTAAATTTGGAGACAGAAAAAATAAAGAAAGCCGAAAGTACCCTCACACCCCGTGGAGCATGATCAACCTGTATTTGCTCTCTTTTTGGGATTTTGGGCACACACACACACACACCCAGTGTGAGTTTAAGCTACCTGGTCCAGGACTCAAACTGTAGTCGGCTACATGAGAGTTCAGCGACACAGCCATTATGCTAACTGCTGGCCCCTCATGAGCCTGGTGTATTTTTCAAACAACAGGATCCAGAACTTGAATAGCAGGGTCAGCCATATGGGATCCAGCAGCCTTAACCACTGGGCCACTGGCTGGCCTTCTGGTGATCCAATGGGTTTTTATTTTATTTTTTTATGTTAAGGTTTTTGCTGTGGGGCACGTGCACTTGTTGGAGAGCGAGCAAAAGACAGTGAGAAGGAGAGTGAGAAATCACCCCCAGGGGGCTGGCCATGCTCAATCCCTTCTCCTTCATTCTCCTCCTGGGATTTTGGGTGCTCATGCACATGCACCAGGTGTGGTTTTCAAGCCACGGGTCCAGCTCCTTAGCCGCCAAGCCAGCAACTGGCCCCCAGTGATCTTTTAGCCTAGACCAGAGCAGGGAGACCAGTACAGCCCAGTCACTGCATTCCTATTCATCTCACTGTCAGCTGAGGGCTCCATGGGAAACCCACTTACACATACAATACTTGGTTCTGGCAAAGCTGTCTGAAATAGCATCATTTTGTAGTCAAGTTATCCTATTTGGTTTTCCCAATTTAGCTTTTTTTTTTTAAATATTATTTTGCTTATTTAATCATTCATTTATTCTAATTTGACCAGAGAGAGAGAGCGCACACGAACGCAAGCCACCATGTCCCCCAGCCCGGGACTCAAACCGTGGTCAGCCATGTGGGAGTGTCCTGGGCCTTAACCACCATGCCCCCTGCTGGTCCCAATTCAGCTGTTTCTAAGCCTTCAAAGTAGAGATGATATTTTAAGAAGAAACAAATTGAAACGTACTCAAGGAAACTGTTAACTCTTCCAGGGCCCTCTAGGCCTGTTATTACTGTTCTGGTAAATTCTCAGCCAACCAAGGATGACTCTCCCGGGCAGCCTGAGCCCTCGCACCCTTGGCTAGAAAATGACCTTAGGCGGCTGTGCAATGTAGGTGGCTCCCTGCCTCTGCCTCCGTGAGGAGACCTGTGGTTTCTGCTCCACATATGGCCAAGGATTCCTGAGGACAACCTGCAGACCCAGCCACGTGTGTATTCGGGATCAAGGGCAACCCAGGAAAGCAGTCCGCGCTCCCTCCCAGAATAATGTAGTTCCCAGCAGTGTTCTGGAAGCAGGTCGCATCCTCTGTTTGGCACAGTTCAGGCCCTCCAGCTAACCATCTACCAATAGCTCCCTTCCTGGAATGACAGAAGGCATTGCGGAGAGGAACCGGCGAGCACCCACCCCGCCCTTAGTTTACCGATGTGGTGGGGGGCTCAGGGCAAGAACTGGGGAGTGGGAAAAGGGGCGCGCTGAAAATAAACAAAAAAGCCCACCTAGGGCTAACAGGTGGCCTGATGGTTGAGGCGGCTGGACCCCATTGGGGCGACAGTCCGAGTCCCCACCCAACATGCGGGAGCCAGAGCCTGCATGCCCCAAATCCTGAGAGACGGAGGGGAAGAGACTGCGGGAAGCAGGGGAACGGCGGGAGAGAAAGGGACTGCGGTGTGACCGTCTGGGGGTGGGGGTGCTTCGCACTCCCTGTCTCCCGAGCGAGGACACACGCCCTCTATCAAAACAAGACAGAATCCCACTTAATTCAAAATAAGGCCACTATATCTGGCTCAGGGAAAGCAACGTTTCCCTGCAGGAATCATCGCTCCCCGCTGCGGGTGCAGCGCCCCCGCCCGGTCTGGAGACAGCCGTGGCGCCCTCCCTCCAACGCCGCCCG